CTTCAAAATTTGAAAATTTTAGATTATGTCTTTTCTAACGGCGAGACTGAGTAGGCTGTTGGGCAAATGTGCAGGCCATAAAAACAACGATGAGACATCTTATTAGATTATTAAAGTTTTTATCTTTAATCAGATATGTCTCCTTTTAAAGTCTGAAAATACTAAGGTGAAAACCCTCATTTTTCAAATTCACAATAGTTTTTTCAGTTGTTAATAGTTTTGGTGTCATATGTGGCAGTAAGTTAATAGAAAAGAAAAATTTGGGTTAAACATTAGCTTTACAGAACTACTCAAAGAAAACTTAGGAATTTGTTGATAATGTTAGTGTTCTGTGAAATTATATTTTTAGAGCAATAGGATTTGGAATCAATTGTTTTTGAAATACAAAAAGAGAAGAAGAAAAAGTGTTTTGTGTAACACATTAGATGTTTAAAATCTTGTGATATTGTATTCTTTAATAAATAGGAATTACTGTTATGAATGATAACAGCTTTAGAGTAGTAATGGCGAAATTTGTATTGATGTTTTAAAATGAATGTTAGCAAAAGATAACTTTATTGGCATACACATAATTGAGTCATTCTTTGACTTAACATTCGGAAACAATTTTGATCTATTAACATCGATTGAAATTTTCTTAAGTAATTTTGGAAAGATCTAAGCAAATTCATTATAAGAGGTGAGATTATATAAGAAGCAGAAAATTGTGTTAGGAAGATTTTAGGCACAAAATATTGTTAGTAACTGCACTAGTATGGAATAGGGTGACTTGACCTAATAATTGTTAGCTGTAGACTTTGTGCAGAATTCAGCACAATAAAGAGGAGTTATGGTAAATATTGAAAAGGCTTAAAATATGGAGACGATACTTAGAAAATCTATAATAATCTAATTGGAATCCTAGAAGAAAAAAATAGAATGTTAGGGAGGCAACATTTGAAGAAATAGTGGGTGAGTATTTTCCATAGTTGATGAGACATAAATCTACAAATATACTGTAGTAAGCAAAATACATATCAAGTAGCATATTGTATAAAACTGCAAAACACCAGAGACAGAGAAAGTATTAAAAACATAGAGGAAAAAAAGACAAATCCTCCTGCAAAGGAGATGGGATAACACCAGTAGCAAACAATGAAAACCAAAAGACAGGGAAGTAATATTTCCAAACTGTGAGATAAATCTTTCAACCCACAGTTATGTGCCCAGCTAAAACTGCCAAAACTGTTTTTCACGAATAAGGATAAAATAAAAACCTTTTCAGATAAAATTGAGAGTGTTGCCTACCAGCAGATGTTTACTAAATAGAGAATTTCTGAAAGGATTTACATCAGAAAGATTGACAATGACCTCAGGAAAAGGGTCTGAGATGTGACTGATAAAATGTGTATTTGGTTGGAAAATCTGCCTTGGTATAGCTTATGAAGTTATCAGGAATGTGGCATTGTACCATGAAGAAGTGAAGTGTAATACCAGTTGCAATGTAAATTGTTTAAGATTACCCCAAACCTATTCCACCACTTTTCATTTTGTACTAGCTTTGTGGCTTGCGGAATTGAGGAATTGGGTTGGCTAGGTCCTGACTAGTTTAATTATAATAACCCCCATTCGCTTGCTGATTTAGTTGGTTTGGGAATCAGGCCTGAGGCATTTAGCCCATGGTCTTTATCTTAATGGCAGTTATTGACTCATACTGAGGTGGCCAGATGTCTAAGGTTGGGCCTATGCACACTGAAGGAAAGAATTCTTATTTTGTGTTTGGAAGAGAGATACACTGGGGAAACCAAATTGCTTCTTAGTATGGTCAGAGAAATAAGCCCTATGTGAGTCAACATTAGGAATAGCAGAGCAGTGGGAATGGGAAAAAAAGGGAAAATTTGATGATTTCTCTTTGTTACTGAATCACCTACTCTTAAAGTTCACACTGTTTATAGACTGCATTTCATGTGAGATTGTAGTTAAAGTTCGTATAGGTCATAAGATTATAATTTTTTGTTGATCTTTAGTTGAAGATCCACCAGAAATTCCTTTAAGCTTCCCCAAATTAGCCTTTGTTAATACAAGTATAATAATATTCTACACCAGGAGAGCTTTATGTTTTATGCTGCTGTGGCAAGACTAGATTAAGTCAGAGTATCATGTTTTAGTGAAGCACACTGGCAGATTAGTATGCCCAGAGAAGACTGACAAAATGATGAGTAGTGTGAAAATCATGCAGACAGTGGATCTTTTTAGCAGTATTCAAAATTTAAAGGGCTAGGATGTAAAAAGTTTACCCATAGATTTGTTTTGCTTGATTCTAGAGGTCAGAACTAGTCCCAAATCAGTAGAAATTCTGAAGAGACATAAGAAAGAGATGACTGGTATAGGAATCTTCAAATAATTAGTTCTGGAAATAAGAGTGAATGGTTATGGCAGTGTAGAGATGTCAGTGGATACTTGGGAACTAAATTATTTCCCCCAGCAGTTTTCTAATAGCAGACTTCCATAACTATACAGATGTTAAAGAAGATTTTTTTGCATGGAGTAGGAAGTTGAATTATATTACTTATAAAGGCGTCTATGTTTTTTATTCAGGTTACTAATCCAGCTATGATAACATGGGTTCTAAATTCTATTAGGATCAAAACTTTTTATTTCATATTCTTTATAGTGCCTTGCTCCCTAAAACTCATAATGAACATAATATTCCCACACATACAATGTTCAAGAAACAAATGTAAATATAATATAGAGTAAAAATATAGAGTAAAAAAATGTAATATAGAGTATAATTTAAAGTAAATATTTCCAATCAGGTATTGGATTTCTGAAATCCAAGAAACTTCCCATTTTTCCTAAATTAGGCACAGACTTATTTGGGAGTAAACCTGAATCCTAATTGAAATAAATTTAGTGGTAGTCTTTACCTAATTGGTGAATTTCTGTTTGCAAAAATATTGGTATATTTAATCATAGGCTACTACTCCCTACTTTGCTAGCAGTATTACTTAAAATACTTTGAAATGCAAAAAAAATTCTAAATTCTTAAAATATGTGGTCCCAAGGGTTTTGGCTAAAATATTGTGTTTTAACAAGTACTTCAACATGCATATGTTCCTAGGCTGACTAATTTAGAATGCATTTTAAAAATACATAATATGTAATATGTTTAGTTTTAAGAGAAAGAAGATAGATGACAAGCCATTCTGTTCAAGAAGGTGAAACAGCAGACCATGCTATCCTACACACGACAAGTAATTTCAGACCTTATTTATTTGACTTTGAGAAGAGAAGGAAAGAAGTAGTTTTATTTGAAGAAGGGA